TCTAGGTATATGTGGTTGTGAAATGGAAGATGTGAGGTGAGATTCAATTTAGATGTTACATGCTGGAGATTGCGTGGCCACACACTGAATGATCGAATAGCTGATGTTTTTAAATATAGATCTCGCCACATGAAAGGGAATCACGAATTATTGCGATTATTAATTATGATGTGTGTTCTGATACTTATAAAGTGAGAATTCCATGGAAATGGTATAACTCACTCACTCACTCACTCACTCACTCACTCAGTTACAAGTGATATTCAGCAACCCATGCTTGTCGTAGGAGGCGTCTGACGGGATCGGGTTGTCAGGCTCACTGACTTGGTTGATGCATGTCATCCCAATTGCGTGGATCGATGCTCATGATGTCAATCATTGGATTGTCTGGTCCAGACTCGATTATTTACAGACAATCGTCATATAACTGGAATATTGCTGAGTGCGGCGTTAAACAACAAATAGGCAATCAAAAACAAAACATTACTAGGATTAGTGCTAAAGCAAAATACAGCCTCATTCCCTGACACTACAATAAATGAGGCTTGTCAGTATCTAGATGCAATTTCATAAAAACGATGTGCTCGCTCACTCAATCCTTTCATCTTGTTTTAAAGATGGTAAACGTTCTTTGATGTCATGGTATCAGATATTTATCATCTTGAAAACATTGAAACCACGTTTATTATAGTTCCGTATGCATCAATGTCAGGTATTAATTTGCTACATGACAAGGCCTATGCTAATTCATAATTGCCATATCATGACACGCTGCCACTCAGACTGACACGGGTTATCCTCAGCATGAGTGCACGTTAACCATCAATCAATCATAAATTGTTTAAATCGTGCCACACCTCAGCTACACATCACCATTGCTAGGTGTAGCGCATTGCACGTATTTTATTGATCTACTGTAAACTAGGTCGCCACCGTATCCTGGCGATATAATCGATCTCAGGTAAATAAAACCATCTGTCCGCCATTTCCCGACAAGATGCCGGTCAAACAACAGGTAGGTTCCGATCGTGTGCTTGCTGACTGAGAACGCTATTTCCAATGCACGTGCATGCACGAGATTCACGTAGATCCAGACACCTGTTGAAAGTGACAACAGTGCATGCTTTTCACATTCACATGCACGTGAAGTCCGTGGAGACTGACAGGTGTTATTGACGAGATATGGTAATTGACTAATTTCGATATTGCAAGGCACAAAATTGTGTCGGGTGGTTGGCAAAATTATTGTTTCTCGTGTGTGTATACGTACATTTAGGATAATGCACTAATCACTAGCACATAGGCTTTATGATGATTTCGACAATTACTCGTTGTTTTAATGAGTTTGCTTTTGACAGTTTTATGTCTATAAACATTTTACCGAGTGCATACATGCCAACAATGTTTACATATCAGTATTCAATAATTCGATATCAAACCTGTGACGACTTAACCTGTCAGTGTTTATTTATCAATTCGATCTGATGCCCATGCTACTAACTGTAAACAACATGTCAACCCTTGAAAACATTCCGAAAATGTGTTTTCATATATCATGTACTAACTTCTATAAATGCATTAACTATTACTGTACACCGAGGTTAAATTATCGAACATAATCAGCTAAAATATATACTTGGCTTTCACGTATTTAATTTGAATAAATTGGCAATATTTCCAACTTCAAACAGCGCTTAAAACCCCGTGAAGATCCGGGTTAGGATTGGTCTCCAGGAACCCATGCTTGTCGTAAGAGAAATCGGCGACTAACGGGATCGGGTGGTCAGGCTCGCTGACTTGGTTGATGCATGTCATTGATCCCAATTGCGTGGATCGATGCTCTTGATATCAATCACTGGATTGTCTGGTCCAGCCTCGATTATTTACAGACCGCCGACTTATAGCTGTACTATTGCTGAGTGCGGCGTTAAACAACAAACAAACAAACATTACAATGAAAACGTCAGTATTGGTTTATTTAAGTGCAACAAATGTAATGATAATACAGTGAATACCATTTCCTTATAGTTTGTCAATTTTATACGGGTTGTTTGTTTGTTTGTTGTTGAACGCCGCATTCAGCAATATTCCAGCTATATGACGGCGGCCTGTAAATAATAGATTGTAATGAGCATCGATCCACGCAATTGAGATACGATGACATGCATCAACCAAGTCAGCGCGCCTGACCACCCGATCCCGTTAGTCACCTCTTACGACAAGCAAGTCGCTTTTTACGGCAAGCATGGTGTGCCGAAGACCTATTCTACCCCGGATCTTCACGGGTCCCATTACATACGGAAAACAGAAGACTATACGCCCCTAGTTACTGTTACATGTATCCATCACGAACATATTCAATCCGCTTTTAGCAACTAAGAATGTTAAACTCATAAATAAATATTGCTACATATTTTGAAAAGACATCAGCCTGTTTAATGTAACATGAATAGGTTATTGAGATATATACACAATGTCCACCAGCCATGTACAAAAACATTGTCTTATTTATTGTACTCTTGGCCATGTGACCTTTGTTAGCGGAAAATAACTTCAACCTAAACATCACGTATTTTATTGACATGAAGTCGATAACATGACGGAAATCGTTTTGGTGAGGTATTTTTTAATAAGATTTAGAGAACGAAACAAACATTGAACAGGTTTCATATAATCAACCTTTCTAATGTGATGCTCAAGCGTGATTTAGCAAAAGTTGTTCTCTGAATCAGAGAGTACATTTCCAGTAACTACCCCGTTGTAACGCCCGGGTCCTCGCTTATAACGCCACATGCCAACAGATGCAGGTACTACTGTAGGAATTGTTTAGGTACTATTTCAACCTGTTATCGATAGTATTGATCTTCTGTGACAAAAGATGCATTGTGAACGGTGTTTTCGCCTTAGTAAACAATATAAGGCTTGTTAAATTAAATTTCTTGTTTCCCTTGGCCCGCCAGCACACAATATATATTTGTTATTCTAAATAGGTTTAATAATCTATTCAAATTTCGCTTTTGTACCTCCAGTTGCAGGGGGAGTGGCCCAAAGAGGTCACTTGGTACCACAGAATCAAATTTACCTTTATTGATGTGTAACCTACAAAATAAATGGACTACAAAAATAATATTTCTCTCCTTACCCAGTCAATCATGAAGAAAGCCTTGAAAAACTATACTTTTTTAACAGGCCTCATATTCACATGGCAGTAAACCTGGGTACGACAAACCAGTGGTCGATAGGGTGAGCTTCCTGTGGTATCAGTGCACGTGTCCTAACCATACCAAGCAACCATTGTGGCCACCGGCTCTTCATTTTACTCGGGACTGTGAAGGATACGGAGAAGGGAGTGGGTTATATTGTGGAGTATCTTATGTCCATCCCAGGTCTCGTAGCAAGTCGGGGGCCCTATACGCGGTGTAATGGATAGTGTCTGCCCGAAGAGCTGAAAGTCGGTGGTTCGATCCCCTTGCGGCGTCAGCCAAAACCCGTTGAAAGATGTTACTTGCTGTTGCGTCCCGTGACGATTCCGGGTTAGGATTGGTCGTCAGCAATGCATGCTTGTCGTAAGAGTAATCGGCGACTAACGGAATCGGGTGGTCAGGCTCGCTGACTTGGTTGATGCATGTCATCGTATCCCATTTGCGTAGATCGAAGCTCATGATGTCAATCACTGGATTTTCTGGCCCAGATTCGATTATTTCTGAGCGCGGCGTTAATTAACAAACAAACAGAACTTGGTGTTACTTGCAATTCAGGGATATAACAGAACTGGTCGGCTCTGAGTCGTATGCTGCACGAGTCTGAGTGGGATATCCAAGTTAATTAACATCATGGTGTCACAATTGCAGTCTTGTCCGGTCCAGTGCAAGCAGGCATACACGTACACGTGAAACAAACGTGAACCCAACTTAAACCACATATTACATCCTAGCAAGTCTAGCTTATTTAAATAGGCTCGTCAAGATGAAATGTATGTTATATATATTTTTATATAGATAGACACTCAATATTTTAAGGACTATATTTAAATCGATAGAGGGACTTAATGTCCCTTTATTCCAACGTGTGGCCAAAATGTCAGTAAATATTTTCGAACGTATTACTGGAGACAAATGATCTTTCTCAAAACAAAAATAAATTAAATAGCGAGAAAAGTGAGGTTTCTGAGGTTTCATTAATCTATTACAAAATTGAAACATAAAAATATAATACAAAATGTAAAAAAGAAATTAATACTTCGAAAATCCAATTAATTCCATTCTTATAAGGCATTCATGCCACAGCTTAAAACAAAAATGGCCGTTTGCTTTCGAACTTTATTTCATGTTCCCTTGTTAGTAAAATTATTTTAATTAAAGACAGATATCTTGGAACTTGAATACATGAAAATAAGAAATAACATCAGTTCGATTGTGTTGGTGTGTCCACATATTATTGATGAATCCGATACCATCGCCACCATTGAAGAGGCCCCAATACCACATAATCCCCCATAACCTGAATTGTCATGTTCTTAAAGGCCCATTGATAAAACTCTACACTAGTATCGGACCTAGTTTGAAAAGCATTCACTTGAGTGAATGACACCTAACTTCAAGCGTGGGCCTCGGATTTAGAGGGGTGAACTGGCGAAGCGTCAGATATTGGAGGTATGGTGTTTACATTTGTTTGACTATAGTACACATTATGCACGTACTCTAGTAAATGCGACAGGATATTGACTACCATAAAAGTGACTGCTATCGTTAATAACGGTCGACTGCTTGTTAAATCCAATTACCCCGACCTAGCGACAGTTCAAACAGTCTACAGGAGGCCGACGAAATGTCGTCTGCTTCTGGTAGCGCGTGCTGTGGTGTCGTCTGCTTGTAGGCCAGGTTGGTGACGTTTGCTTTCAATCAATCAATGGTCGTGTTGCCTTGAGCATGTTTTGCTCGAGATTTACTCACGCTGCAGGTAAAAAAACCCGCTAAGGTTATCTTCTTTCTATTCAACAGGCGTTTTCGGAGAGGCGGGTCGTAGGCAAGTCCTATCTGAATGACAATGTCGCTTGGTCGGAGCCTGTGGCTAAAAATAGCCATCTCGGCTCGAGCAGACGAGTTGAGGAGTACAGTGGGAGACGGTCGGTCGCGAATTTAAGGACAGACACGAAAATGGTCCCTGAACAAATATCCGAAACAGTAGCCGTTGTGAAAGTTCCTAATTACGAAGAGAAGTATGTTGGAAGTGTGCTGGACCTGACTGCCATGAAACGCTACAATGACAAGGTGTGCTTCGAGCCGGCCATGACGCCCGTGCATTTCGCTCAGACTCTTATTTGCTACAAAAACTCGACTCGTAAGAGATTTGTGAGCCGAACATTTTATGAACCGAGAGTAAAGCCGAAACGTTTTGCCGAGACGACGATTGTCTACCCAAAGCATCCGGAGAAGAGTTTTGTGAGTTTTCTGGATTATCACATCGACGAATGTAGGAAGTGGTTTAAAACATGCATGGAGTTTAAGGCCAAGACCTACACGACAACAAAGATAGGTTTGGGAATGAAGAAAGACACGCATGTTAACAAAGTTAACGAAAGCGACAACTCGCCAGGTGCATCACAGGTGTTTATTCCCCGCTTCAACAACGATGGTTCATCGTACGAAAGAAAATTCAAGTTTGCTCTGAAACCAGATATTAACCAAAACACGAATGGACCCATCAACGGATATTGAAACAAGCTGTGTGTAGGTTATAATATTGGAAGCTATTATTACGGATACGTGACGAACGCCGTGAAAGTGTGTGAACAAAGGATGACAAGTGTTATTAGTTGTTTGTTAATACGGTATGCGTCAACATGACCTTAGGTCACGAATTCAAACAGTTTTGTTGAGAAATGGATTACCGTTTTTTAAACTATTCGTCGCCTTTGTTGCCAAAAGTTGATATACCACACCAATATCAAAGAGAGAGTGTTGTGTACATATGAAGAGGATTCTGTCTGTCCGCCACAATGTGGTGGCGTTATGTGTTGGTGGGAGCGTCGATATATGGCTTATTAACATAGCATCAAGGAAGGGGATTTATGTAGCCAGGCAAGACGTTTTCCTCGTAACATTATACTCATCCACCATCGACATGAATATTCATATTGTCAAAATTATGCAACACGTTTTTACGTGGATTAACATGAAATGACATTTACGACACCGCTGTAGACATATATATTTATATCACTTATGTATCATGTATATATCATGTACGGTTGTGACTAGAATTTAGAATTCCTTTGTTTAGTCATCACACCTCTCTTCATGTACCCGCTGTCTTAAGGCCAGTTAAAATATATTCCTGTTGTTGTTTTTTAAATTTGACTGGGGGCGGTTGTACAGTCTGGAGGTTAAGGCGTTCGCTCGTCACGCCAAGGACCCATGTTCGATTCCCGACATGGGTACAATGTGTGAAGCCCATTTCAGGTGTCCCCCTCCGTGATATTGCTGGAATATTGCTTAAAGCGGCGTAAAACTAAATTCACTCACTCAAATTTGACGGAGTTTCAAATCTATGAGCGAGCCTGCTTTTTTTGTACCAGATGACCTTCTGGCCCGCCCCCGTAGTTCAAGGTTTAAGAAGTCAAAATCAGGTGAAAAAGAAATGGGTTTTTTCCGAACAGTGCTGAAAACGTTTTTGGAAAACATACATGGGCAGGTAGGTCATGAGAAATAAGACATTTATTTTGACAAGCGTAACCTTGCGACTGACTAGCATTACGTTTAATATGCTTCTAATTGCCAAGAGCAGGTCTCCGATGCGTGAAACTTAACAGGACCACAATTCTTAACAAAATAGGCCCCATGGCAATATAGTTCCGCCAAATCTCATCGTTTTCTTATATATATAGGTTACTTCACCCAATAGTTGGCAAGTCAATCTGTAGCTCTGGTGTTTGTTAAAACTTTAAAAAAAAATTCATTTATATATCCTAGTCGCCATTGATAATATACTGCACAGACCACTTTAAGTTTTTCAAAAGGCTATACGTCGTTTCTATGTACACAGTTGGTTGAAAAGACGATATCGTTTCGGTCTCCTAACGACAGTGCTATGGTGAATGATGTATACAAACTAGTACTCGTTTATTATGACACCACGATGCCTGTAATCTAATTGATTTGAGGTAATCGGTCATGTGTGATTAATACTGGTCTCTGGTGTATTCATAGACTTCCATTATCTCTCGGTGGAAAGATCCAGGTCGACTTGTTGAAGGTGAAGATTCAACCCTCTGGGCTTGAGCCTAATGTAATGGATGCATGTTTACTCATGCATTTAGTTAAAATTGTTCTGCCCCATTGGGATAGATTTAAACCATTGACTTTGTCAAAACATTAGATTGATCTCAGTTTTAAATGAACTGCTTTCAAACAAAGATACGACCCTTGTATTTTAGACACAAGTCCGCCTGACCAATGGTCTGTAGTTTAGGTCCAAACTCTTCAAAGCAACGCCCACTCCACCTTTTAGACCAACACCCGTTAAACCAAACCCCTCTCCACCTGTTAGGCCCATGGGGCACGGGTGGCCCAGTTGTCTAAGGCGCCGCAATTTGCTGTGCAGAGTTGTGGCCCTTGGGCACGCCAGAAACCTATGATTAAGGGTTCGAATCCCGTTTCGCCCCGAATATGTTTCTAGGTTTGTCAGCACCATACCCGTACTCGTGGGTTTCACCAAAGTGCTTAACGTCTAAGACCTGCATCATTTCGGGCTTTCCTCCCACATTAAGCTGACACGCCGTGATATAACTGGAATACTGTTAAAAGCGGCGATAACTCACTCACTCACTGTTAGACCCAAACCCGTCCGTCCCATCCCGTGAGAGCGAGGATGAGTGGGGAGAATGTCACGTTATGTCAAACTTAGGGCACACCACTGCAGTCACAGCAGAGCTTTCAATTCCAAGTTATGCAGTAGGGTGGTGTTTAAAATGTCACGATGTTTGGAATGCCCTCCTGTCAGCTTTTTCAAATGTCAAAAGTCTTCATTTTTTTCCCTATTGTTTAATGAAGAGCATATTTGAACATTGTGAAATACGATCGGCACGTGACTCGTCCAGTGGGTGACACAATGCGGAGCTGTATGAAACAAACAGTGTGGTCAGCAATGTCGAACTGACACTGCAAAGTCATTGATACATGCCCCACATGTGTACATCGTGTTAACGGTATTACACAGGTTACTTCATGTTTGCTTACAAAATTCCCATAAAAATAAACCAAGCCTTAAAACATATATTCTTGTGCTTTCCAACCAGAAATGTGAATGTCGTAATGATATAGGTATGCCATCAGTCAGTGTCACGTGTCACTTGTATTATTCAAACGTCGGGTTGTGTTGAGCTTGCAAATTCAGACAAAGATTACAGTGTACGTCATGGTATAGAGAATACATGTGTTCCAGGGCTTCATTTTCAAATTAATACAGTTGCAGTGTTTATGTCCTACTCGAGACACGGAGACCTTTCACGTTTACAGATTTCATTTAATGTACATCTATTTTGAATACCTCTTCCTCCATCTTTCATTCTTTCTCTTCCCCATGACAACACGCTTCCTCCTGTTCCTTTGAACTTATTTATTCTTCTTTAGTTGAATCTTCTTTGAAGTTCAAACGATAAACTCACAACGTCGATATAACCGTGTCAAAAAAAGGAATGGTTTGAAAAAAATGTGCAAAGGCATGCGATATGTCTGTTCGCTGTGCAGAGTTGCGTCCCTTGGGCACGTCAGAAACCTATGATTGTGGGTTCGAATCCCGGTTCGCCCTGATTATATTTCTAGATTTGTCAGCACCATACTTGTCTCGTGGGTTTCACCAAAGTGGTAAACGTCATGGACCTGTATCACTGGATATAACTGTAATACGATACAAAAGCGGGTTTAAACCCAACTCACTCACTCACGTTACGTCCACTCATGTAATGGATTCGCTACACAACCCGCATTGTCATAATCGGAGCTGTTTTCTTTTGTTTGTTTCTCTCGAGGAGACTCGTTTCACAAACCATACCTTCAAATCCCCTTCTCGTACTCTCTCTGTGGGGGCTGTTGGGTGGCCTAGTGGTTAAAGCGTTCGCTCGTCACGCCGAAGACCCGGGTTCGATTCTCGACATGGGTACAATTTGTGAAGCCCTTTTCTGGTGTCCGCCGCCTGATATTGCTGGAATATTGCTAAAAGCGGCGTAAAACTATACTCACTCACTTCTATCCGTTCTTCTGTGATATAGTTTGTTTACGTGTCTCGCGGTGTTTTAGAATCTCATATTAACCTCACTTGTAATAACCTTCATTTTAGTGTGATTGACAAGCTGTCATTGACGTGAGTGAATCAGAGCGTGGAGATACATGTCTGAAACTTGCATCTTCAAACTCATGTCAGTTTCATAATAACTCATTCATTCTCCGGCCAGCGTATACACACATATCTGAACCTCATTGGTCCTGTTATATATAATAAAGCTTTCACTTTGTACTGACTGCCACTCTTGTGTTATTATTTTTAGTTTGTTGTTTAACGCCATACTCAGCAATGTCAAGCGATAGAGCGTCCACCCGGAGAGCGGAAGGTTCGGGGTTTGATCCCCGGCCGCGTCATACCAAATGACGTTAAAATATGGTACCTGTTGTTACCTGTCTGCTCAGCATTAAGGGGCTAAATAAAACAAGGACTGTTCGACTCGGAGTCAGCATACTGTGTTTGAGTGGGGTGTTCATGTTAAACTGCGGCATGGTATCTCGGTGGGCTAGCACTATAAAATCGGCATTAGTCCGGACTTGTACAAGCACACGCCCGCACGACGTTAAACCCCACCTCACCTCACCTCACCTCACCTCACCTTACCTCACCTCACCTCAGCACTGTTCCATAGAATCGGTCAGTAATAATAAGAGCGGGGTGTCGGTGGTTCGATCGCCGGCCGCGTCATACCAAAAGACGTTAAAACATGTCCTTGTTACCCTGCCTGGCGCTCGGTATGAAGGGACTGGTTGGCTCTGATTCAGCATACTGTCTGACAGTCGGCTAGCACTATAAAACCGGTATTAGTCTGGGCATGTACAAGAAGTCACACACAAACAGCACGCACGTCGCTATAGAAGTGAAGCAATCTTAAACGCGACGTTAAACTTCATTTCACCTCGCCTTTCACCCACCGCTGCTCATAACATCAGCCAACGGTTTGTCGGATCCGACGGTGTCTGACGTTGCTCATGATATCACTCACTGGTTTGTCTTGTCTGTCCCGATTCTTTCCAGGCCGTGGTATAGCTGGAATATTACCGAAAATTACTTTGAGTTAAAAGTCATTTTAATATTAAACTAGTTTGACGAAACCGGATGGCATTCGCTGCATACTTTGCCTTATTCGATATAATCGAAGTCTTTTATTCATGTACAATCACGGGAATCAAGATTATTATTATCGACTCTTCGCTATATCCAGAGTTGTATGTAAACGAAGCTGAATTTATCAAAGCATTGCTAAATTTGCTTTGTTTTTTTTCACGTGCTTTCGTTAATTCAGCCATGCATACATACGATAAGTTCTAGTTCTGCAAGTGCATCTTTTACCCGTGGGCGGAATCACGGAAGAGTCCATCTATTTGACACGTGGTGGTGAGGTTGTAATAGTGACATGTCTGCAACATAATGGGACATTCAAATGGACTGATCGGTTATTGACGAAAGTGACATATTATTTGTTTGTTTGTGGTTTAAAGCCGCACTCAGCAATATTCCAGCTGTATGACGGCCGTCTGTAGAAATCGAGTCTGGACCAGACAATCAAGTGATTGACATCATGAGCATCGATCTACGCAATTGGGATACAATAACATGTGTTAACCAGGTCAGCGAGCCTGACCACCCGATTCCGTTTTACGACAAGCTCACAAATCATGTTTCACTTGCTGAAGACAAGTAACATACACTGTATTAAGTGGTGCCAGGAGTAAGTGAGTGAGTTGGGTTGGGTTTAAGGCCGCTTTTCACATTATTCCAGTTATATCGCGGCGTGTCAGCTTAATGTGGGAGGAAAGCCCGAAGTGATGCAGGTCTCAGACGTTTACCACTTCGGTGAAACCCACGAGCACGGGTATGGTGCTGACAAACCTAGAAACATAATCGGGGTGAACCGGGATTCGAACCCACAATCATAGGTTTCTGGCGTGTCCAGGGGACGCAACTCTGCACAGCGAATCGCGGCGCCTTAGACGACCGGGCCACCCGTGCCCCCTTGGTGCCAGGAAATGTCAAGATGTGAACCGCTAGAATATCTATGATCGCTGATGTGTTCACAAATATTCAATTTTTCATTCAGTTATTCTCCCGATCAATATGTTAATTTGTGCATCCTGTTTTAATCCCAGGTGTGGCACAGTTCTCTGAGGAGACTTGTAGGTGTACCAGAAACATATGATACCAAGATTATGTTTCTAGGTTTGTCAGCACCATACCCGTGCTCGTAGGTTTCACCTAAGTGGTAAACGTCTGCGACCTGCATCACTCCGGGCCTTCCTCCCACATTAAGCTGACACGTCGTGGAACAACTAGAATACTGTTCAAAGCGGCATAAATCCCGGGTCGCCCTGATTAAGTTTCTAGATTTGTGAGTACCATACCCGTACTCGTGGGTTTCACCAAAGTGGTAAACGTCTGAGACCTGCATCACTTCAGCCTTCCCTCCCACATTAAGCTGACACGCCGTGATATAACTGGAATACTGTTAAAAGCGGCGTTAAACCCAGTTTAATTACCCATTCACTAAACAACATATCCCAGATAGCCCATCCATCCCTGAAATGCTGTTTAAGGTTTCATTCTATCGTCTAGTGAGTGAGTATGGTTCTACGTGGCTTTAAGCAATATTCCAGCAGTATCACGGCGGGGGACACCAGAAATGGGCTTCACACATTGTACCCATGTCGGGAATCGAACCCGTGTCCTCGGCGTGACGAGCGAACGCTTTAACCACTAGGCTACCCCACCGCCCCCGTCTCGTGCGTCGTCTTTAGGGATAAAGCGTGCACGCGTTACACCGAAAACACAGATTCTGTTCCCCACGTGGGTAAATTTGTGAAGCCCATTCAATGTGCCCTCTGTCCTAATAACGCTTACATATACTCACACTGTCATTCTATCTTAGAGACCCGTGAAGATCTGGGTTGGAATAGGTCTTCAGCAACCGTCTTCGTGCTTGCCGTAACAAAAGCGGCTATGCTTGTCGTAAGAGGCGACTAACGGGATCGGGTGGTCAGACTCGCTGACTTGGTAGATGCATGTCATTGTATTCCAATTGCGTAGATCGATGCTCATGATGTCAATCACTGGATTATCTGGTCCTAACTCGATTATTCACAGACCGCCGTCATATAGCTGGAATATTGTTGAGTGCGTCGTTAAACAAACAAATTCTATCGTTATAGAAACGACTTAAGAACAAAAAAACTTCATAGATTTGTCAGTATGCAGATAACA